ATAGTTGGTGGATTTGTAAAAACCAAAATACAGTATTAAGAAGACACCCCCCACCCTCCGCAAGTCAGTTTCCATGGAAAAGAAAGCATCACGGTTACCATATCCTCACCCGTCAGATGAAGATTTTTCCCTTCTGGCGAAAGGCAGGCCAGATACTAATTCTCTTTAACCCGGTTGATGATTTGCATCCTTCTGTTTAGCAAATCGATTTTAAGGCTTTGCCTGCCTGTAGAAAGTATTCAGGTGTCCTTTGAATATTTGAAAACGTTCAAACATTCCTTTTTTATACATGGTGCATTCTTCACAATACGGTTTGCAAAGAGACCTGTGAACTTGAGTTGCTTTCTTGGGGTCGAGTCCTCCTCGGTCCTCATATATTGCCATGATTTAGCTCAGGGGTGCCAGACACAAGGCCTGCGGGCAGGAGCCGGCCCACAGGGTGCTTAGATCCGGCCCAACAGAGGGCTGCAGGGAGCCATCGCGGCGGAAAACAGAGCCTCGATGAGTGAAGTCAAGCTGGTCATGCCAACTCAGCCTCCCAAGGTCAAACGCAACCCTGATGCGGCCCTCAATGAAATTGAGTTTGACACCCCTGATTTAGCTAATCTCAGCTCTTATCCTGCCTAGCATTGAATAATGGCAGAAAGAGAGTAGAGTAGAGCTCATGGCTGCTTCTGTGCGCAGGAACGAAGCGGGAGATGACCCTCCAAGTGTCAAGGCAACACCGATGGTTGCCTGATGTCCTTTGGACAGTAGGACCTTTTATCAAGGACATTAGATGAAATGATTCACAGAGCAAACTCCCTGATAAATTTTGCTTTGGAAGTTTTAGAGCGGTTGATACCTCTCTTGATTTCTGGATTTTGCTGCTTAACCTTTAACCGTGCTCGGACATACAACATTAACCCCGGGGATTCTGTTATTCCCCTCAAGTTTTTAAGCATGGCTTGTTTGGGATGAGCCTTTTTGAATTCTAGCTCATCCTATTATGCTGCCATTATTAGTTATCCCTGAGAAGCAGTTCACGTCCATCTGTTAAAGGCATATCTCAAACAAGGGTCATCCTGGCTATTTTGCAGATTTTTTTTGGATGGCTTATCCCAACCTGCTCTTCTTCTTATCCACACTCACTCAGCAAAACTCACGCATGCCAGATGCACGCAGATACACACACAGACACACGTTTTTTCCCCCTCCAAGCTGCTGCTTAATCTCTCCTCCCGCAACTCCCCCTTGAGCTTCAGGTATTAATATCTGGAGCCCTTTCGAGTGAAATCATTTCCCCCCTCGGTGCTGCTAATGAATCCAGCACGCGCCGTGTGTCTATCAATGGCTGCATTGAGACACTCATCCGTCCATGGGAGCTTCCATAATCGTGTGAATCTTGGCACTTCTGTTCGTACACAGGGAGCTCTAAGGGAAGGCATCCTGCACGTAGCTCCAGTCCCCTTGGAGTGCTTTTTCTTTTGCCAGGCTGAGTTGAAGACGGGAATTGTGGCCACTTTAGAAAGCAGGAGCTAAACCAGAGCTTGGGGAAAGGAACGCCTTCTCTGCAGTGTTGGGGGTCCAGGCCCTCTTGAGCGTCTTCAGGAATTATGAATGGTGGACATCAAAGACAGGCCTTCCCTCTTTATTAGGTTGATTCAATGCCACAAGGCTCACAATGAAATGGTCCAGACAAAGAGAGGAGGAGGAGGAGGAGGAGGAGGAGGAGGAGGAGGAGGAAGAGGCCATCATTTTATGTCAACCATCATTTAATTTTTTTTTTCTATTCAAAGGAAACTACAGAATGAAGTAAAACCTGGGTTCTCCATCATTTATAATGGCAGGAACCCCTCTTGTTGCCACGAATTCTTCAGGGGGTTCTTTAAACTGACAGCCTGGGAAAGGGAGCCAGGCATTCTGCGTGACGGAGGGGTGGGGGTTGATCAACCGTAGGGCATCCCAAAAAGTGGCAATGTGAGGGTGTTGCAAACGCCGCGTGAAGCCCTCCCAGTGGAGCTGGAGAGGGTGTTGAAGCAGAGCAGCCAAGTCTGGTCCATGTGTCCTTAGATAGCCTTTTGGCATAACAATGTACAAGGAGGAGTTTTCCTGTCCCCTTAGCAGGATGTGCAATGAAACCTGGCCCTGTTTTGGAAGGAAGGAAGGAAGAAGTTCGTTCTTGCAAGAGTGTTGTTTGAAGTTAGGTCTGCTTGCTTGCCTGGGCGTCCTTTGACGAGTCTTTGCTCAAACTGAAACCACACGTGTTTTGGCTTCGCTGTGGCCGGATTATCCCAAACCGTCATGGGCTCCTTGACCTTGGTTTAGAGTGAGTGAGTGATGACCCCAGCCATAAACCAAGATGTGTGGCTTAGAGCGGTCAATGAAGTAGGTCACTCAGGATTGCCCAACAGGCCAGAGTCAAAACATTTTCATTTATTCCCACAGTGGAGCTCCTTCGCTGAGTGGGAAAAGAGGCCATCTATTTTCAACAGAGGAAGTTGAGTCACTTTCTTTGATTTCAAGAATTAGTAGACTAAATTCTCTCTCTCCCCATATATAGCTTGGATTGGCTAAAAAAAAAAAAGAAAGGAGGTGGAATAATTCTGCCAGGGGTCAGGGGACATGACATAATTCTACTGAAGTAGTCAGCTCTTTGAAAGAATTACGAGTTCCAGAAATGGAACAGAGTTCAGAATATGATGGATTACGAGCTTTCGCATTTAATACATCACAAAACAGCCTTGAAACCAAAAAAAAAAAAGAGGGAAACCTTTCCACAAATCCATGCTCGTAACACTTTCCACGGAGCGGCTCGCTTAAACTGCCAGGTGTGAGACTTAATGGACGGCAAAAGGACTTTTTTGAATCTCATTTATTCTGGCCTCTCACCCCTCCCCTCCCTCTCCTTGTTTACTCTCTCTGCAGTGTTGTCCCTCAGACGACAGTGATTCTCAACAACGACCGTCAGAACTCGATCGTAGCCAAGATGGTGGGGCAGGAGGAGCCGTTAAGCCGAGCAGCTGATTCACTGGAAAATATCCTTAACAAGTTAGTAATGGCAGAGATCTCTCCCCTCCTTCCGTCTGCATGCACAGGAAGCTGCATGGAGGTCATCTGAACCGTTGTTCCAGCTAGCTCTGTGATCCACTGGCTTTCCTGAGTTAAGAGTCTCTTTAGGCTGGGGGTCTTTGGAGCCATGATGGGAACTGGCTTGAATTTGGCTTGTTAAGGATATTTTCCAGTGAATCGGCTGCTCGGCTTAACGGCTCCTCCTGCCCCACCATCTTGGCTCCGATCGAGTTCTGACGGTCGTTGTTGAGAATCCCTGTCGTCTGAGGGACAACACTGCAGAGAGAGTAAACAAGGAGAGGGAGGGGAGGGGTGAGAGGCCAGAATAAA